CTAGATTTTAGCCCTTCTGTTTTTACTTGGTTATTTTCTATTTCTCAGCACTTAGAAAACTATTTTTTTTTTTTGTATAAGGGATTGAACTCCAGACGCACTTAACCACTGAGTCACATCCCCAGCCCCCTTTTTATTTTTTATTTAAAGATAGCTTCTCAGGAATTTGATTAGGACCTCACTGAGTTACTGAGGCTACCTTTGAACTTGTGATTCTCCTTCCTCAAACTCCTGAAACACTGGAATTACAGGCATTTGCCCCCATGCCTAGCTAGAAAACTTTCTTATTCCTTTGTTTCTTCTTTTTTTCTAGAAAATGTCTTTAGTCTTCTCTTTTATTTAGCAACTTTCCAAACTTCAATTTTCCTCATTCATCATGTCTTTATAAAAATCAGCCATTGTCTGTAATCTTTCTTCTTGTTTCTTTTTTAGACTTTTTTATTTTTAGATCATACTGCTAATTTTATTATTATTATTATCATTATTGTTAATTATTATTATATTAGTATATTTTCTAAATTGTTATCTTAAATGTATCTTAAAAGTCCTCCAAAAACCCATATGTTAGACATTTGGCTGCCTGTCTGTGGCAAAATTGGGAGGTGTTGGAACATTTAAGAGGTAGCAACTAGTTAGAGGAAGTTAGGCCATTAAAAGTATGTCTTTGGGGTGAATATTGGGTTCTTGAACCCTTCCTTTCATTGTTGGCTTTCTTCCTCTGCCATGCACCCTGGCCATGATGTCCTGGGCCATCAGGGGTACAAAACAACAAGGCCAAGATAATATAGAATAAAATCTCTAAGACAGTAAGTCAAAATAAGTCTTTCTTATTTATACATTGATTTTCTCAGGTATTTTGTCACAGAGAAGTAAAGCTGACTAACACATGGGCTAATTTTAAATTTGGGCTTGCTTTGTTCTAATATTTCAACTTAACGTTGTAGCATGTGAATATGGTTATTTTGAAGTGGCTATATATCTTCTTACTTTGAGCTATACATTCAGTGGAAATGTTACCATTATATACTGGCAGTGCATATTTGAGAAAAGCTCAACTCTAATCTATATTAGCCCAAAGGAGTCCAAAAGAAACAAATGAAGGGTCTCAGATGCCTCAGAACTTTAATCAATCATCACTGTTCTTCCAATAAAACAAAACAAAACAAAAAAGATAATGCCCTCAGGTTAGAGCTCATCTCAATGGAGGAGTGTTATTAAAAATAGATACCGTCCAGTTTGCTATGGAAAGTGGCACTAAACTTGACGTTGAATATGGAATTTGAGATTCTGTTCAATTTTATCAGCTTCTAATACTATGGGGATTCTGCAATGTCCAATTTTAATGTAAAACATTAAAAAAGCAATGAGAAAGGAATACAAGTAGAGAGCCAAACTCATTTAATATATTTGTTTATGTTTGTGTGTAGATATATGCATAAAATATACAATATATGTAAATATGTACATCTATTTAAATATACACTTGTTGTTGGCCAGTCTTATTTTGTCTCTATATTCACAAAAAAAATCTTTAAATTTTCTTATCCCTATCCTCTTATCTAGTTTATCAAAATTATACTAATCTTATGAAATATATGGTTGAAATTTCAATAATTTCAGATTTTTTGCAGAATTTTTACTCTAATTTTGAAATCATGGTTTTATATTTGTCTGGATACTTTGTAATTCAGGCCCAGAATGTAGCCATTAATAGGAAATCTCAACACTTTATTTAATAAGCAGCACATAATTCTTAAAACCTCCAAAGGAGAATAAAAATCCCTTCAATGAATGAAATGTATTTGGCAGGAGGTGCCCATGCTTCAAAATGTGATAGCCATCTTGGGGGCCCATCTCAATGTTTATTTGAAATCAACAAGCCAGGCCACCTTAATTTATTTTTAATATTCAAGAACCATTAAAAGGTACTTCATGGTGTTTAACAGTTTCTGTTCATTCTTGGCAAGGACTCATGTTTACCGTCACCTGTTTCAGGTCAGATGTAGACAAATGTAATTAACATGAGAATGTTCAATACAGAACCATAGCCACTAGCAATGTCAGACAAATTTAAGTGAAAGAATAAACCCGCAAGTTAGTCTCCATATGTCAGATAAAAGAAGGACTAGATTGCATATCAAAACGCTTAGGTCATTTTAAAAACAGGATTTGGAACTGGATTTCAAGAAACAGAAGCTGAGAATAGAGTGGTCTTGCTTCTACTTGTACCAAGTCTACTTCTCCTCTTGTTGACATATTGGAACCGCTTTGCTCTAAAGAGATGGTCACTGAGTTAATTATGAGAATGTGAGTACATCTGAGAGGAAACAATGATCAAACAACAAACCTTAGTTTAAATTAACTTTATTAATCATTTAAGTACCATGCATTCCCCACTACATTTTTTTTTCCATTTCCTTTCTTCTTCTTTTTTGTTTCTTTCAGAGAAATGTTCAGTACAAGGATCAGACAATTCTGTGGCTCTGGGTTATAGTGTCAAAATGTATGTCAAAAATGTTAAAGAAACAAAAACAAAATGGACAGCTGGAGGTTTTCAGCACCAGTGATTTTATCGAACAACAAAGAGAGTCTCAAAGGTAATAATTTTCAAACTTTTACAATGGCATCAAACTACGTCTGATAATTTTCTGGCAAACTAAGATAATCTCAGAGGACTCCACAAGTTTAGAAAATGTCAAAGTAATGAGAATTTAAATGAGATGGCCCAGTTATTTGCAATTAAATTATACAACAGTTAAAATTTTAAGACTATAAGCTCCAAAATGCTATCAAGTAGCTTTATGAATTATAGAAGATGAAAGAAGATAAAATAATACATAGGCACTGAAACTGATTATTTCTTATCTACTCTCTTTGTTAGACACAGACAGCATATGCTCGTTATAATATTTAATGAGTAAAGCTGAGCTGTCATAATCCCAGCTTCTATCTCTTCACAAAGCTGTTTATCTCATTATAAATCTAAACTCCTGTTGTTCTACTGTGGGATTCAGGCTGAGAGAATCAAATCAGTCTTGTGTGTAATAATTGAAGCTTATGGTGGGAGCTATAGTCTGTAGATTAAGTGATATTACAAAGAAAACTGTACACAAGGAAAAGAGAATTTTACTCCTGTACTATATATTAGCATATTTGTGGACACCCATAACATTTATAATAGCAATGCTATTTTATAATATTTTTAAAATTTATTTTAATATAGGTATTTGTAATTTCAAGGTATTTCTTTCCCTAGCAAAGAACCTCTAAGTATGCCATTAGTATGGCATAGAAAAGAATTTGAACTTCATCAGAAGGAGACATTGTTTCTTTCTTTTGTTTCTCTTTCTCTTTTTTGTGCTCATTGTTTTTATACATACCTTAACAATTATTTTTGATGATGCCTTGTGAGCCAAGTTCTATAGGAGGCCCTTGTTTTTCCAAGCAGTAGCTTTGGATAGCTACATAAATTCTGTCAGGCTCAGTCTGCTTCTTTCATTTTTTAAAATGAGATAATATGATCAGTTTCTTCAAATATTGAAGAGTAAAAAAAGTGAGATGTTTTGCTCTTTTGTCAAGGGTGAGATTCATTCATGCATGAATTATCAGGAGCATGGTAGTAACTAAGTGAATGACCAGCCATAATTCATTTACATTAACAATTAAACTTTAAAGAACCTCATTGAATTCCCTGCTCAGTGCTTGCATCCAAAAATTTTATTATTTCACTCTCTTTATTCATAGACAGCTTTAGAAAATTGTTTTGGCCTCCATAGTCTAATTATTCCCTCATTCACATCTGAAGCCACAAAACAACATTTCACTAAAATTCTTTTTTTCCCCCCTGGGGCATTTGACATTTATTCACACATTCCTTCAGGGTATTTTGCAGAATTGGTGACTACAAAATATCTTTCGAATGCAACAGTGAAGATTCTGGGTGTCAGTCCAGGTACTGATAGCTCCCTGTTTCCTAGGATTCTTCTCTCCCTGGATTTCATAAAAAACTTCTGCCCCTCTCCATTCAACTTTTGGTATTTTTTTAATGAACCTTTTTTTTGGGGGGGGGAAATAGCATAAATATAAAGACATGGAAATATTATTATCATAAAGTGAACACATCAAGGTTATGACTAAAAAATAAAAAAAAGAGGATTGCAAATATCTCTGAATTCATCCCTCTTCACCTTCCCATTACTATACCATCTCTCCCCCAAGAGAATCATTATCTAGACTTCTGACATGTTGGTTAATTTATCTGCTTTTAAATTTAAATCAGTAGGACCCTGGGAATTTAATCAGGCAAAGGAAAGGGAAGAGTATTATAAATGTTCTCCCATTTACTCAAGTAATATTTTTATCTTTTTTTTCTTTCATTTATCCTATTTTACCCCCATTATGACTGAGCTGTATTGGGAAATCAGATTATTTTCTTTGAAATTCCATGCAGACTTATTCCTTTAATTTTATTTGACTTATTGTACATATTTTCTTTTTAACTATTTAAAAGAACAAAGTCTTGGGATCCTGAAATGGCCACCTTTTCCTAATGAGAAAAAGTTGGGGATGAGTTCAACAATAACATTTTCCCTTTTTAAAAATGAGAGTTGGTCTCAATAAATAACCCCTCTTGTTATGTTTTTTTCTTATTTTTATTTCATTGAGAAAAAACCTAAATATGTGCATTTAATAATAAAGTAAAGCAGTTATATTTTATTGACTATGTATGAGATGTAATGTGTTTGTCTATATGGACAAACTGCAGATATACAGTGATGCCAGTATTCTCGGAATAATTTAAGGATTTGATTTATAAACCCAAAATAAGAGATTTCTTTTAAATAGAATATATGATTTTTAAATTTGCTTTATTCTGTCAAGAGTTTATATATTGCTGAAAAGGAATCACAGTTGCAGATAAACTTTAAGCCATACAATTTAACCTTTGTTTCAAAATTCTTTCCTTTTTTCTTAGCAGTTTGAAACAGTTTAAAAATAGAAGTGTTCTCTGGCTGAAATTTGGAGTAAATTATGCCAAAGCTCTAGCATTCAGCACTTTCATTTTTTTTTTTTTGTTCACACCAAGTTTTGTTCATGGCCCCCTCAAAACAGTTTGTAAACAACTATTTTGAACTATTAATCTGGTAATGGAAATTTTTAGGGGAGCTTACACATTTTCAGAACTTCTCTGAACTGTAATTTTACAGTAGAATTCAGATATATTCGCCAACAACTAAATAAACTGTCCATGGATACTTAATGCTACTGGAAGCAATCAATTGCTCTCAGTAAACAATACGTGTCCCTCACATGGGGCTTCCAAAATGGAGAAGCCTATGTTGATAATGGCCACTAGAGCAGTTAGTCATTTAGTTATAGAGGGTTACATTATTGGGCAGTCAGTGCTGAGAAAGAGAGTAATTAAAGAAAAAAAAAAAGATGAAAGATATAATACTGTTTTAGAATGAAATAAAGAAGCAGTTGTATATATTATAAAGTTATCTTACAGTTGGGCTGAAACAGCTCTGTATTTGTCTTTAGTCTCTAAAAAATCCCTTCTAATGATTTTTTTTTTTATTATTGGTTGTTCAAAACATTACAAAGCTCATGACATATCATCTTTCATACATTTGATTCAAGTGGGTTTTGTATTTGGGGTAAAAATGGGAGTTCATAACCCACTTCTAATGATTTTTGAGGCTGCAAAGTTCAAGATCAAAAAGCCAGCAAGATTGGTGTCTGGCGAGGGCTGCTCTGTTTCCATGAGAGTTTCCTGTTTTGCATTCTTTGGAGGAGAGCATGGTAGGAACCTGATGGAAAGCAAAAGGGCAAGAATGTTTCATTTAAACTCAAGTGCCTTTTAAGTGTGTTAATCCCATTCATCAGTGGAGCACCCTCCTGGCTTAATCACCTCCCAAAGAACATATCCCTTAATACAAATAATCTCCAAGTTATTGGATTGTTTTGGGACTTTTCTACTTTATGATACATTTATTGAAACATAAGCCCATTACAAGTTGAGTAGTAGCTGGATTTATGATGTTTTTTTTCTTTCAGTTTTGACTGTAAGATGGGTTTGCAAATGCATTTTGACATATGATATTTTATTCACTTAAAATGGGTTTTTCAGAATGTGAACTCATTGAAGTGATGAAGCATCTGTACTGTTGCACTAGGGATTAAGTTTCAACATAAATCCTGGGGGATCAGCATCATTTGGATCATATCTCCTGTCTTTACCTTGTCCTGATATGTTACTTTATATACTTTACCTTCATTGAAACCTTACAGGAATAGGTTCTATGGTCTTTGAGGTTTTTTTTTTTTTTTTTTTGTTTTTTTTTTTTTTTTTTTAATAATTTGAGTTTATGTAAGCTTACATCTGACTTGCATCACAATACCTTCCTAGATTTCAGGACCAATTTTATTGCCCATTTTTGTCATCAACTTCCAAATTAAAATGTGTGTCTCTTAGCTTAATTGGAGTAAATACTTACTATTGTAATCCAAACCTACAGGGGCAAATAGAATTTGCCATTGAGAAAGTCCATAATATTTATTTCCAGGATAGTTATACGAATTAGACTGTTAAAATTTGGAGTATTTAGTTTGAATCCATCCCATCTATTAATTCTTGATTTTAATTCTTGCACTATAGGAGTTTTATTAAGGAAGTAAGGACCTAATTCGATATGATGGAGACTTGGGCCTAGATACTGTGCCTATTAGAAGAAAAAATAGTCCCAAATCTCCAAACTCTCTTTTCTTTAGATAAGATCAGGCTTTGTTAACACTGAGCATGATATACAAGAACCAGGAGATCCTGTTACTGTAAACAATCACATTGATACAAGAGTACAATTTCTCATTGTCTCAATTGTCTCATTGACCTTGGGTTTATGGTCAATTCAACTTAAAATTATCATAACAAATCATTCATGAAAGTATGAAAGATGAAATTATGTGACAATTGAAGAGATTTTTGTTTAGGTAGTCCATTATGAAATCTTATGTCATTACTGTTTTCAAATTCTAACATTGGTTTAGATCTAGTGTTCATACTCCCATGTTACTAGAATTGAGAAAAAAAATATTGATAATTGCATGAATAATTTGTTCCAGATTTTCAAGCAAAGGTGATAGGAATGTGAGAATGTATCATCAATGATTGACGTGCATTGTATGAGGATGCTTTTAAAATATAGTCTTTATCTTTGGTTTTTGGAACCTTATCTCGGAAATGGTGATATGTGGTTTTTAAAAGTAGAAATTATTTTATTTCAATTTTCTGTTGGTATTTGAATTTCTAAACTGACATTTGAACCAAACTTTAAAAATTTGTGATAAACATTTCTTTATAATTTTTTGGCTTATTCTGTCTCTCTTCTCATCTTATGGAATACCAAGTTCATATATTCTAGACCATATGATACTATTTTTTACAAGTTTTTATTTCCCTTGTGCTTCAATTTGAATATTTTTTATTTTAGTGTCTAAAAGTCAGCTAATCTTTTCATAGTATAGAATTTATTTTGTAGATAAATAGATGAAATTTGACATCAGATATTATATTTTTCAATTCTAATTTTTTCCATTTTTTTCTCTGTTTAGGGTTTTCATTTAAGTCCTAATCTGTCTCATGTTTTTGGTTCAATATATCTATTTTGTTCTATAGTTGCTTAAATATTTTCATATTTAAAATTTGTTTATATTAATGCCAAAAATCTTTTTTTTCCTCATGACTATGGCTTCATATTTTAGTTTACTTAAGTGTGTACTTATTTTTATTGTAATAATGGATAATTTAGATGATATGTTGAAAAGACACCAGAATCTTGGGTTGGTTATTTGGTTGGTTGGTTGGTTTTTAGTACATAATAAAATTAATATTGGGCCACTGGAGAATTCTAGAGGTTTCATTTCTGGAATCTAGAAACTATTTAAACATATCCTTAAATTTCTTGATTTTTTTTTTTTGTATGTGTGTTTTACTTGTTTATACCCAATTCAAAATGATAGATTTGATAATGGTTGACTTCTGAGAAACTTGGTCATAAAAATAAAATGTTTATGCTTCAAAGTTTCTTTCTGTGATATTCACTTTTGAATCTTGTTGCTGGTGGTTCATAAATTCAAGTCAGCTTCCATCTTATTTATTATAATAATTTAAGTTATTAGACATTATGTAAGTAATCCAATAGCTCTGAGACATTCTCTGCTCTTAAAAAGTACAAGTCACATGGAAGAGCCTCAGGTAAGTGTTCTCACCAAAAGCCCCATTGTAGGCCTCATCAAAATGTGGTATCAATTTCTAGGACTGTGGGTAAATTTATAGGACTATGAGTATTTTTTAATTCTAATTCTTTTAATTAATTCTAATTCTGAGTTTCCTTCAACTCTCAAGTCTTCTCAGGTGAGACTCCAAGCACAGAAAAAATCATCTTGATTGGCCCCTGTCTTATCATTTTGTATTTTTCTCTTATTTCTAGTGCATATTCTTTAACTCTGGACTTTGATGCTTATTCCTGGTGAGTTGATAATCTGGAGTTTCAAAGAAAATTCAAGGCATTTACCAGATTGCTCTAACTTAGCAGCAATTAAACAACCTGTTTTTCTAGCACTTGAATGAAATCTTGCTCAGCTTTCTCTCTTTGCAGGAACTTTTATACGCTTGGATTCTTGGGTTTTGTTTCCTTTATTTATACTTCAAAATTGACAATCAGATTTGAGGAATCCTACCCTGATAGCCTCCCTTTTTAAATTTTACCTTATGTTGAAATATTGATTCATAACTACATTAACATGAGTACCAACACATTTCATATAAAATATGCATAATAATAAAAATTATAAAATGATAAAAACATGAATAATAAAAAGAGTTGTTAAGTCCTTTCCTCTCTTTTTCTTCTCCTCACTCTCTCTCTCTCTCTCTTTTTTTTTTTTTTTTTTTTGGTACTGTGAGTTGAACTTAGGGGCACTCAGCCACTGAGCCACATTCCCAGCCCTATTTTGTATTTTATTTAGAGACAGGATCTCACTGAGTTGCTTAGGATTTTGCTTTTTGACTTCTCTGTCCTCTTTATTTTTTTTTCTCTGATTTATTTATTTATTTGTGAACTCTGGCTGTTTTTATAGTTCATCCCACTGTGAAGCATGTCCACTAATTATTAATCCAGAGGGAGGACTCCCATTTCATGGAGCATAGCAAAGATCATCACTTTGTCAACCACCAATGGGAGTCCAAAATCACTCCCACCAATTGCTAATTTTAACAATTGCCTTAGTCCAGCAAGATAGAGAATATTCACATAAACAAGTTATATGAAGTGAGCTTATTACTCACAGAGAGTCAGAAGGAACAAAAGAAGCCTAGGCTCCATTTTGAGAAGATTCAGTTGCCCAGGGCTTGACTATGCATACAGGCCCCACTTGTAGCACAGGAGAGAACTCCTGAAAGACAGCCCAGCCCCATTTTAACCAATGGGGACAGGGAAGAAAACCCTAGCTATCCTAGATAGTTTCTTTATAATGTTCCCTAACAGGGGCAGGAACAAGGCCAGGACTGTCTCAGGCAGCTCTCCCTTTCTCAGTATTGCCAGCACAGCTATGCTTATTCTGAGAGCCATATATAGAAAACTTGGAAGTAGGGAATGATTGGTCTAAGTCTACCCAAAGAGCTGTCCTGCACACACTAGACAAATAAGTTAATTTAAGTTGTTAATTTTGTAACATATTTGTGTGGTATCAAATTGAAATATGCAAACCAAGGTTTACTCAAAGGATTCTACATTATTTTCTGTTCCTAACTATTGCCTCCCTTACCGTGTACACTTCAAAAAAAAAAAAAGGATCTTCAATGCCTTTAATTTTTCTCAGTTTTAATACACTTAAAAGCAGTTTATCCTGTATATGTTTCATGAGGAGTATACAGAGGTATTACTTATGACTTTTTACTCCATTGTGTGAATATATTATACTTTATTCAAGCAATCCCCTTTGAATGACCTTTTCCTCCAGTTTTTCATTCTTTACTTCTGCAGAATATCTTGTTTCATATTCTTTTTGTATACCTACTAGTGTATT